AAAAAATAGAAAAGCACAAAGCAAAACCATGCTCTTGAGTGGGCCAGGACGCGTGTTTTACGCCTTGCAAGTCCAGTGGCATTACTGAGTAAATGGAAGTGTTTGTGTGTATCCTTAGAGGATCGTTGATCAAAACATAGACAACTCTTCCTGCTGGTTTAAAGTATGTCATTCCAGTAAAAAATAACAATACATAGCATGCCTCTAATTAATGTATCTAATTTTGGATAAGTGATCTGTTCCAACACCACCCATAGAAAATAAGGGAATTGCTGCAAGTACGATACCTTTGCAAATCCCAGGCTGTCCCCTGTTATTGTATATTTGGAGAAAACATCATAAAACAGCTTTTGCGAGTTGTCGAGCAGCAGAATTGGTAGGTTAAGAGGTGGTCTTCGAGTAAATCCTTCCCTTCTTATACTTCATTATACCTTTTTTCAAGCAAAAGCAAAGGCTTTTGCTGTTGAGGAGCAGGGTTTTTGTGTTGCCCCGGCGGAGCAGGTTCACACGCAGCCCAGGCACTGCTTTTCGAAGGGAATGAAACTCGAGGAGCTCCTGCTCTGCTGCCCGACCGCTTGCTGATCAGCTTGCAGCTCATCAATTCCCTCTCAAATAGACTCGGAAGCTGGGATTTATTTCTGCGGAAATTAATGGCATTAGAGGTCTCCCAGACAGAGATTTCTGGTGAATTTTGTAAGAATAGGGAGCAGGTAGGAGAGGGAGGCCACGAGCGCTCCCAGAGCAGCACTCCCTGTCCAGCTGCTGGTCGGTGCTCAGCGTTTCCCTTTGTGGACTGGGAAGTGGAAAGGTAACGTGTAGGGGATGAGGGAATGCCCCGGGAATGTTGCAGGAAGACATAGCAATGGGGGCTGTTACAAAGCTGGTGGGAGAGCTGATTTTATTGCAATATCTGCTTTCTAATAGCTTTATAGGAGCAATCTGTGGGAAACAGGGCTTCACTTGTATTCAGGCCTGCAGGAGGACATGTTGTCTCCCCCGCTGGCTCGCTCCGCGCGGAGCATTGCGGGCTGGGTGCGTGCTCCATCCAAGACACAACCTGCAAAGTTGGTTCAGAGTACAGCTCTGCTCCCACAGAGTTCATCTGTTCTTTTAATGGTGCAAATTTGCTGCTTTATATTGAACATTTTGCTCAGAATGGCTGGCAAGGGGTTCTTTAGGTTAAAGTTTCTCAAAGCAGGGAGCACAAACAGAAAAATTGGGCAAGAGAGGGGGTCTCCTGTGATAACTGGCATACGATGCTCTTTCCTGCTGCTTCCATCAGGATCAAAGAAAATGAGGGGAGGGAATTACCTAGGAAATGGGGAGCAACTTGCTTTGCGCTCAAAGAAGGCAGCTTTCTAATAAAAAGGCCTCAGAAGCTGCTGTTTGGGTGCTCAGGAAAGGAGGATTTCATCATCAAATCTAACTGCAGAATGAACCCCAAAGAAGCAAAATGAGCACAATTACAGCGAACATAAGGTTTAATGATGGTGCCGTCCTAATGTGATTAATAAGACTGCTGATTTCCCGCATCTTATCAGCCGACTGGAACGCTGTTTTGTATATTTGTTATCTGCAATATGCATTGTAATGCGGATAGATAAATAGAAGTACCATGGAGGCAACGGGAAACAAAACAAAAATAATCAAACATGTTTATCACTAGAGCATTAAAATGGCTGCTGTGGCAGGCACCAGATGAATTATGCAATACATAACTTAATTCTCTGGGCCACAGATGTTTCATTTTTCCTGCAAGAAGATGATTGAACCTTGAGTGACAGTTTCAGGCAGTCTTTGATTGCTCTGTGGGTCACATTCTTGATATGACCTGCATTTGAGTTGCTTTCTACATGCTGTTGCTTTATAAAACATGTAAAATTGACATCATGTTGACTGCTCAAGGCCAAGTCAGGAGTAATTCCCTGCTTTTGATGCGCTTTGTGTTTAAGTGAGGGAGAGGGAGGAGTGTCTACGTTTAAATTCTGATGTGTTATTGAATCAGCCGAAGTCAGGAGAGGGGAATTGCAGTGAGCTCTTTCGATTTGTAATAAGAAGCACCAGAAGAAAGAGAGTTTGCGGCATCTGTGTCGTCTTATGTCGACCCTCAGAACCCGCGCGGTGCGGACGGGCACCGGCCACGATGCCGCGTGGAAATGCTGCTTTGTGCCAAGAGGCTGCCCTGCGCTGTGCACCTCCCCGAGGCTTCTCCCTGCAAACCTGGGGGCAGCCCTGGTTGCAGGACGTTAATGTGGGTGGGATTCGGGCAGCAGCAGAGTAAACATTAAACATGAAAAAGAACTTCAGAAACGCTCCTCCCTGGTGTATTGCGAGAATAACAATAATTCCTATTGTGTTTAAAACTTTATAATTTCAAAACAGGTTTTCTTACCCTTAAAATCCTGACTTACGCAGTGAAAAATAAAAATTCAAAAATTTTAAAATTTTATTTTTTAAAAAAAAAGTCAAGGCAGTTTAATTCTATAGGGTCTTTTTTTTCCTTCTAACCATCAAGATGATAATCTTGTCTTGTTTTATCCAAGTATTGCTCAATAGCTTAAGCTTTACAAGCAGTTTCTTTCACCTTTATTAGTATTTGGCAATCCCTCGCCATCTCTCAAACATGTCAGACATGGTTTGTTTGAAGATCACACCTGCAGCGGGGGGCTGCTTGATCCCAGGACTTAGGATGCTAACCGAGGTGCTTGAGGAGAAATCCTCATAAGAGATTGAGTTTATTTTTTGCAGGTTGAACCAGGATGCGGTGTATTGCATTGACACGGGACTCCCAAGGAGGGGAAACAACTCTGTTTCTGACAAAATGTATAAAAAACATGGGCAAGTTAGCATGGAGTCTGTCTTTTTTGCTAGGGGAAGCATTTGATTTAGTGTGGGATAACTCCAGCAAGGGTCCTGCACAGTGTACACGGGATATTTAGCCGTGCTCCAGATTAATCCAGCTGACGTATTGTGTAATCGCCGCAGCACCTGAAACCAGCGCTGCTTTGATCTCTCCCTTTAAAGCCTTCAGTGTTTCACTGCTTCACAGAGAGGGGATTTTTTTTCTTCAATGGAGTTCCTAGGAAAGGAAACACCCAATTCATTACTAAAGTTGCTGGATTTATGAATCCCTGAACAGAGAAATTCTTTTACAAGAGGCCTGGATTTATATGACATTGGAAAAAGGATTATCTGATCTGAAGATCCTTAGAGGGTTGCTGTTAAAGAAAATATTAACCTATAGCTCTTGCAATTTGAAAAGTAGATTTGAGAACTTACTACTAAAACGTGTATTAGTTCTTGCACTTTTGACGGGCTGTACTTGTTATTATGAAATAACTTATTTTTTCTTTTTTTGGCCGACCCTTGTGGCTGTGACTTTGGAGGTTGTGTTAGCAGTAAATGGGAATTTATCTCATATGTGTGTTTGTTAGAATAATGAATTCTAAAAATGCCTAAATTGTCATACATATTACAAATATCACTACAAACATAAACAGAGTTGATTTTTTAATATATTGCCTTCCTTCTAGTGCTTTATGAGAGTTTACAAGAAAGTCTGTTTGGATATCTGTACATACGTCCTAGAAACGAGCCAAGCTAACAGTATTTACACCTTCCCTTGGAGTCCCTGCGATACGGGGATCAGTGGAGAGATCCTCTTGGCACAGTATATAAACAGTCTCGAATATGGGTAGGAAATTCGTCATCCTTCTTTTCTATTTAAAGGAAAACCAGAAGATTCAAATGCTGGATTTCCCAGGCTCGTGAAGCAACAGGCAGTTCTCAGGTGTTTCAGTGATCCCAGACCCGAGAAGCTTTCCTGATGGAAACTTACTTTGCGTTTTTTAAGAAAAACTTACTCTGCATTTTGTTGAATTTTTTGTCCCTTCTGTTTCTATTCTTCTCTTTCCCAGTTATGCATACATCTCTTCCCAAGATCCCCAAGTTTCTTCTGTAGCATAAAAATGCTGGATTATACTGCCTCTGATGTTAAGAGGATGTTCACCAAATCCCACCAAATTCTGCTCAGTCTTGCCCCAGTGGTGACAGCAGATGCATGTTAGTATGTTTTTTTAAGCATAAACACACATTACCTGGTAACGTATGTTTTTAGTTTGAAAGTGAGGATGTAAATGTTTTAGTCATTAGAAGATTTTAACAGGCCCCGGTGGCTCCGTATACCCTTTGCTCTGCCCAGTCAACTCATAGGTGTTTTTAAAGAAAACAACCACATGGGAAAAAAACACTGTTTATTTTTTGTGAAGCCAAAATATGAATGTGCCCCGTTAGTGAAGTGCCGTTTTGAACGTGTCGTCTGAGCTTCTCCCTCTTCCACGTCCAAGGAATCCAAGAGCCGTTTCCTCCAAGGTCCACCAGGTCCCAACGTCCCGGGGCTGGGGCCGCAGGGTTTGGCAAGCGGCTCGCTTGTCGTGTTAATGACAAGGAATCGGCTCTGCCGCCTTCAGCTGGGGGCTGAGCAGAGGAGTCGAATCGGCTGCGTTTTGGTCATAACATCCAGATTCTCCTTGCATGCAACTCAGTAGCTTGGTGGGCTTGGAGTTTTTCGACTGGTTTAATTCTATCTAGAAAAAAACAAGTTATATATTTCTGTTTTACCTACTCTGGAATTGCTGTGCTTGTTACACTATTTAAACCTAGTTGGTTATCTTGATCTTAAAAATAAAACTGAGCCTGTCTATGCTTTCAAATTCCCCACTGGAGTTCAAATGAACAAGTGTTTCTTGTTTTGTTCAACAAGTTTTTGAAAAACCCTTAAGTTCTTTTATTTTAAGGGATGGCATGTGATTATCAAGGTAAACTGGTATGTGGTTATCAAAGGCTTAACTGGTAAAACCTTATATCTTTTTAAAGTTAAATTTATAATATGTTTTTCACTCAATACACAGCAGCAAACAAGGCAGTAGCAGCACACTTGGTGACTGTGGTGTTGCAGCAGCTTTAGATCCTTTTTTGACTTCTTGATGCTTCTGCTGTAGCTCCAAACGCTTGGATACATACAGGAATGTCAAGTTCCTTAGCCCAAAAGTGCTGAAATTTAGGATGAACTCAAGGTAATGCAGCTAGGAGCGCAGCCTTGACAAACCTAAAAAATAGTGGCATTAATCCTGGCTGTTGCAATGCAGAAACTTAGCAAAAAGTCCTGTCCCTTCTGAATACCCTGATTTTCTGTGCCCATAGAAAGCAAGACGGAAATTTCCTTTTTGTTTTTGCCCGCCTTGCCCTCCAGTGCTGGGGAACGGGGCAAGCGAGGCCATCCCGGGAAGCCAAGTCAGGATCTGAGGAAGTTGGAAGTTGGAAGATGGGCAGCTCTGAGAGGTGACGGGTTTGCACGGGGTGACCCCAGGACGCCCAGCTTGGCCATTGCTCTCGTCAAGGTCCCCGTCAGAGTTTAGGTGAAAACTAATAGCACAAGTTGGCTGCTTCGTAAACCAGGCAGCAGTGCAGCCTCTGCAAGGGCATGTGACGTACGAGAGCTGTGATTGATTTTGTAATAAACTCTTCTGCTGAGCAAGTGGTGAATGTAACTATTAGAGATCTTCTCAAATAAGCGACTTCAGGCTGCCGAGTGCCAGCTACTGATGTGCTGGTGGAGCTGTTAGGCTGAAAAAGCTGAATTCCTCTTGAATTTTCCTGTGGATGCTGTTGACACTTGTGCTAAGGATGAACGTGGAGGAATTTAATTCATTACTGTACTTTGAGGTAGCACTTCTGGGTGCAGCATTAACCTAGCTGGATGCGCGAAGTGCTGGGCTGGAGATGTTTCCTTTGAGGTGTTTTGGAGATCTCCCTTCCTTTCATTAGGCGTGTCAGAAAAAATGGGGAAAAAGAAGGCAGAAGAAGCAAAAAGGGGTTCTGTAGCTGCCAGCTGCTGTATCCAAGTGCATGAGGGGGCGATTTTGCCTTTGGCTACAGTTTGACACTTCAGCTGGATTTGGTCAGAATTATCTGTGCACGTTGAAGGGCAGAAGGGCCATTTTCATGATGTTCTGTATCCTCGGTGGCTCTTTTGTAATAGACTGCATGGAGCCGTGCTGTGATAGATCTGTTAAATTCTGACCCCAGCAAAAATGGTGTACAAATACCGCTACGAATACTCGTGTCTATTTTAAACGCAGAATTGTTTTAAGTCTTTGCACCTAATTTTTCAGGCCCTGTCCTGCCTTCTGGTCTCAATCTGTTTTTCCTGTCCTGCTAGCAGCATTGCACCTTCCCCCTGGCCAAGTGCTCCTCTGCTGTCCTGCTTGTAGCCCCTCTCAGCTCACCGTTCCCGTGTGCAGGTGTTTATGCTAAACAGACTTTTGTAAGGTCTAGAAGTTGCTAAGGTGTTTGCAGATTAGACTTAAATGAGCTGCGCTCATCTGTTTCCCTATTCTTGGCTTCCCTGTGACCTTAAGAGGTAGCTGAGGGTCCTTCAGTGACCACAGACCCCCTCATACTTCTGCCCACCTCTCTTCTGCATCGTGGAGTCTGTTGCTTTGCTTACACCCTGGCTTTTTCCTTGAACAAAAGACTGAAAAATGGCTCTTCTGCTCCAAAAAGCATAGCTTTTATTTCCCCTCTCTCTGTGTCCTGATTTTGTGCTCCTGAGCCCATCAGTCTTCTCAGGTCATGCAGTTTCTAAGGCCTTTGACTGATCTCCGACCCTGGTGTGCTGCTGTTGGGAACGAAAGGCAGGGCCGTTCCTATTCCCCAAACCCTGCTCCACAAAGGAGCTGAGGAAAACTGGATTCATTTAAGCTGTAACCGTCACGTTGGAATGGGACGTTCCCAGCTCCAACCCGAGCGGCATGTGACATAATCCAGACGTCGCGCAGTGGCTCCATATAACCTGAGGCATCCACATATAAATTCAACCTGAATACAGGAGCTTATATAAAGAGGATCCTTAAACCATCATGCCTAAAAATATTTGTAAAGCGCTGGGAAATATGTGGCAGTGTTTTAGCATGTTCTTTTCTGTCCGACTCTGTTACAGAAGCGTAATGGGGTTGTTTGATGTTCTCATGGACAACTTTTCCATGTGAAATGCTTCAGTTTCCATTTGCGGCTTAACAAGACGGAATGGAATTTTAGGGCTGGAGCCTAAAACAAAAGGCGTTGTTTCAAAACTAGGCTGGACAGAGCTAAAAAGTTAGCGTGGGCTCCTGAGAACCTGGCCAGGTTAGTCTCCTGATTAGTCCCTGCACGCTTGGAGTCCTTATTTGCCTGAAGAGCAATCGTTTGATTCGGTAACTAATGCGTATTATTTATTATTAATTGAAAACATCTTGCGCATGATTTCTTTCCAGTATAAGAGCACATTAGCTTCTTCTACACAAGAAAACACATGTTAATCTGTTTTCCATTATTGTCCAAAGGATTTTTCAAAAGGCAATTCATGTTGCCCCGACAACATTAAAGGCTATAATTAAAAATAATTTTCCATTAATTTATATATATGCACATTTACTTATTATGATCTTTTATTGCATTTCCCTAAGTGTGCGTGCAAAAACCTAAAATGCTGTTGAAGAGGCAGTCAGTATCCCATGCAATAATCCGATATCGAGAGTGCCTGCCCCCAGTGTGCTTCAATTAGCCACCTTTCCCAGCAAACACCTGCGTAGAAAAATGGATCTTCCGTGGGATGGCAAGTAAAAGTGGACTTTTGTGCATCAGCAGAAGAAGGGAATTCCAATATTTCACAGCTTTTCCTGATAATGATCTGCTACAGATTAAAAACCAAAAGCACACATTATGGTGTTGGCAGGTTGCAAAAGGACTTGCTGGTTAAAGCTGCTGTTCATGGGAGATGAGGATGGTGTTTATTGCATCCATATGGTCTAGAGATGTAAGACAGGCAAGCGTCTAGGGAGAAGTAATATGGCTTACTGTACTGATACAGAACATACATTTTTGGTATGTAGGCCATTTTTCTGCTGTTTTTCATAGGTGAACGTACAGTTGTGCAATATTTGCCTGTAATTAACATGGTGATGAAAGAGGCTGCTTAAAGATCTGATCTGTTTGTGTGAGGAAAGTCTTAGAAATGCAGGGTTTCTTGCAGGGTCATGGCTAGTAGCTGGCTCCTAGCACACATATATGATGGAGCTACCTTTCTTTTACCGTTTATATAGTTTTCAACGCTTTGACTTTCCTCTTCAGCTCTGTAGAGTGTACCCAGTGTCCAAAAAAAACCCTTCTGCATAATTTAAATTTCTCTATATCTTTGACCTCATGGTTTCTTTTAGTAGAATTAAGAACCAAATGTCTAGCTACACTGAAAAAGAAGAATAATAGACTACTTTTGTATTCACATATGCAAGTGGTTGATTGAAGAGTTATAGTCTTTGACTTCTTCAGAATTATTGCTTTACATTTAGGAAAGATGAAGACAGTCCTTCTGCAGAAGGTCTGGGATTAAGGTCTTCAAAGACCTGTTAAATATTCTGAGTTACCGATGTGCCTGCTGCGTTGCAGAAAGGGAATGGGCAAAGGAACTGGAGACTTACCAACCGGTCAGCACTTCTGAAACCCATGAGGATTTCAGCAGTCAAAGTCGATCAGTCTTTACTGTGTCCCCTTAAAATGGTGTTGGAAATTGCTTGGTTTGAGTACGAATGTTACGGCTGCACAATGCTTTGGACTTCTGTAGCAGACGTTGTTCACCACGTGCTAACAGTATCTGTGCTCTCTTGTTTTCCCAGGGCTGATGAAATTGAGATGATCATGACAGACCTCGAAAGAGCAAATCAGGTAGGATTTTACAAGAGTTTCTCAAAAAAATTCTAAGTACCGTTTTTTTTCCCTTGTCTTTTGGATTTCATGAATTTGTTTATATGTACTTAGCAGTCTTTACTGTGAAGAGTAAGAAAATATGCAAATTTAGTGAAAGTACAGATCTCCAGGGATATTCCTCAAGGACTGCGTGCACAGTAGAGTAGTTCTTGTTAGATATTTACTCTCTAATAATTTAAGTTCCCCATTACAGTTTTTCTTCTTTTTATTTTTCTAAATACTCTTTGTTGACCCCTATCAGAATATGCACATAACTGGCATACTCAAATTGCATCTCAAGGAGTCGCACACTTTTTTGGGGGCCTTTTTTGGAGGATCTGAAGTGGCTTGCTCAAAAACACTCTATTTTGAGGTCTATTATTTCAGCCAGGTCCACTCAAACTAAGCTGATGTCAGCAGTTGAACATCACATTGCAAGGTTTATATAGGGTTAAGCGTGTCCTCACACCACGGAGAGCAGCGCACGGGCAGTGAGTGCGATGAGGCGGTTCCTGGGGGCAAGGACCATGGGGAATCCATGGTTCTGGCTCTTACTGCTGCTCTTCCCTTTCCTCTCCTCCTCTTTGCTAGTGAAGTTGTAGCAGCAGTGCTAGGAGATTCATGCTGACCAGGGAGATTTGCCCTAGTGCTGGAGCTGGTGGATTTGCAGGAGGTGAGAAGGTCCCTGACCTGGTGGCAGAGCTCACCTTTGGGACTCTCTCATCACCTGGAAATTCTGCTCTGATTTGACTCAAGTCAAAACCACTGGTGATTTTTCTAATATGTTTTCTTGACATTTTAGCTCAGGCTGGATCAGACTGTGTCACACAGGAGATCAGACTGGATCAGGCTGAATCAGACTGTGTCACGAAGAATTCTAATTTGCTCTGGTGGTTACTAATTTGGGAAGTTGTCCCTGAAAGCCCTCTGCTGCGTTCCCTAACAGGGCACACATTCCCAAGAAAGCAAGGCGTCATGTGAAACTTTAAAAGCAAAAGATTTTAAAAAATACCACCCAACCAAACAGCTCTTTTGGTCCATTCTGCACATCAAGTGACTGTTTGAGGTGATGGGGATGTGTCAGACATGCAGAACTGCCCCGTGATATATGGATTGCTTCATGGGGAAACTGGAGATCGTGTCGTAGAGAAACCTCAACCAGGCATTTTGTATTCAGCATGCACTGGAGTGCCCCTGCAGCTCATGGCTTATGGGAGAAGTGTCCCTACCTGCCCTTCCCCGTGTCTCCGATATCCTGGCCTGCTCCTGGCCTTCCCTCGCCTTCGTGCCAACTTTGGCAATCAAGGGACCTTTCCCAGCAACAGTGCTGCTCCTGGCACTGCCAAAACACATTGGTTTGGGGGCAGACGTTAATTTTTGTGCATTTTTTTCTATTCTTGGCAAAAAAAGAAAAGAAAGAGAAAAATCAGTTGTGGAAGAACCAGACTGCCTCTTTCTAGCAGCAGCAAGGCAGGTGGGTTAGCTCCGCTGCGTGCTGAGCTGTGCCATAGTCCTGGCCTTGTTTGATGTTTTCCCTTTATAAAACACTTTACAAAAGATAAGCAGCATTTCTTACAGTTTGCCTCACTTTATGGAAGAAATTGGAAGAAATCAAATCCGTTGCATTGGTCAGAAAGTGAGTTTGCATCAGAGTTAAGTGTAACAATTGCAGAAACAAGTACTTAACATAATTGTGTATCTAATAGATTATCATTTCCTTTTACCGTTTCAGTAAGTACTTTTTCCCTGTTATTAAGGCTACCTTTCAAAAGTAATGCTCAGCATGATTCCTCCTTGGAGGATAAATAAGTTAACTTGCTGATTTTGATGTGATGTTTTGCTGTTCCAAAATTATCACTGGCCCAAAATGCACTGTATTTCAGAGGAGAAATCCATGGAACAGCACACATGCTTCTGCTGAGGATATGAGCTATATTTGCTTGAAATTTTTAAATAACTGGTATTTCCTGAAAACCCCCTTCTCCCTTCCTGCCACTCTTAAACCCATAGTTGAGATTTCTGAACTTTCTTTGCTTTATGTGGTGACACACTTCAGATTCTTAAGGGCAGGTAGGAAATGCCATTTCCTTCTCTGGTTTGAGGTCAGTGCAGTGACAGGAGGGTGAATATCTTCTTGACTTTCATCGAGTTTTCTGGGCAGGGCGGCCAAGCAGGAGGTGATTCCCCCAGTCATGTCCAGCCGGGTGGCACGTGGCAGCTCCATGGATCATCCTTTCAGCTCCCAGCTCCACCACCACTCTTGTCCTGCTGCATTTTCTTCATTCTGTTCCTCAAGTCGTTTCATGCGGGAGCACTCAGGGCTTGTTTGTGTGCTGCCCCTGCACTGTCATCCCTAAAAGGGATTATTGACTCTTGGGCATAATTACTTCTAAATATCAGGGAGCACTGTGATTTTCTGCTCAGAGAGAAAAAGGGGCAGTGACAACAAAGTTAGGATTTCTCTTCATTGTATCATTAACTCGAAGTATAATGGGAATTTTCCCCAAACTATAATCTTGGCCAAAGAGCTATAAATGACTAATGGGAACGAAGGGGTCGAGCTGGCCAGTGGGGCGCCCCACGCCAGGAAAACCAGAGCTGGAATCATGGTCAGAGCGAGTGAGAGTGGAAAATGAGAGAAAATTGTAAAGACTTAAGACCTTAAAGACTCCAGACTTCAGATTTTGAAGACTTGAGAGGTACAGACAGACAGGGGGGAGTAGTAATGACTGGCGTACTAACATCCCCTGCAAGAGAGAGCTGTCCTCAACAGCTCCATAGCATGGGGCTTCAGTGGGGTGGGCAGCCCAACGGGTTTTGCTCCCGTAGTCCCGCTTGTTTAGCAGCCAAATGCTCTGCGTGTCAGCTGCAAACTCCCTGTTTCTCTCTTAATCCCCAAAGCTGGGTTCCTTGGGTGGCTTGGTAGCAGTAGAGGACTGAAGTTAAAATAAGGGAGCTGTTTATTTTCACTTTAATAACCTGCAAGCTAACTACCAGAAATACCTAAGAGTTTACGCTCACGTTTCCATGAAGATTTAATCATCCGGTAGTTTGGGGAAGGGACTTGTTTTATTAAGATTTCATTTTGCACAATAAATCACTGCATATTTTCTGATATGCTATGAAGTATAATAATAAATAATTAAAACTAAACTACCCTTACTTGTCAAAATAAATGATTTATCATAGTTTGGGATACAGCATCTTTGAATTTTTTATCGTTTGATTCCCAGAATATTATCATTTCCAATCAGTGTTGTTAATGAAGCGCCAGTGTACTTTGCAGCATGTACAACAGTTAGCGTGGGTGTGTGAAGATATATTTTATATAAATATACATAATTGGCTATTTTCTGTACCTTTGAAAGTTTACACTTTTTTATAAATGTTTATGGCAGTAAACAGTCACACACAGTTGACATAAATTTGTTCAGTGCATTGTCCTTCTCTTTTTACATTTTGTCTTGAGTTGCCCAGTTGTGCAACTTAGGAGTTTCATAGAGAATCTAGGCTGGGTCAATACCAAAGAAAGGTCGTGTTACAGATTTTCAGCTTTGTAGAGAAAGACCTAATGATTTTAACCATTTTTGAACCAAACCACCACTGGAAAACATAAATATACATAATATAATACATAATAATTATAAATAAAGCAGTGTCTGCTGCAGAAGTAGAAACAAAGACTAATGAGGTCCTCTTAATTGTAATCTTCTTCTCAAGACTTTTTTCATTTCATTGGCTATAGTCCTTTTCTATCTTTAACTAATCACGCTGGAATTTTTTTTGAAAATATATTCCCACTAAGTGAGATTGCTTTAAAATACGTTTTGAGCAACAGATGGAATAAATTCACTTCTTTTCTACACAAGCGCAGTGGGATGTCGGCAGCAAAAGAGCAATTCAGAAGCAGGTTTTGCCCAGGTCCTCCAACGTTAACAAAGTGACAGAGCAGCCCTTGTTTGCAGGTTTCTGTGATGAAAGGTATTCATTTGGGTATGTTGCCTTCACCTGCACCAAGGCTAACACATAACCTGTTACTGGGCTTTATTTCTGACTGCCTTTGCAATGAGCCTTGTGCCATAGCTCCCCTGACTGCTGTTTATCTGCTGGTGAGGTCATTCGCTTAATCCTGTGATTTAATTTCCCTATCTGTGAAATAGGAATAATAACATTTACTTTTATAAAAGGCATTGGGATCCTTGCGTGGAAAAGACAAAACATGGTTAATATTTTCATGCAAACACAGGAGTTTCCTATAAATACCAGGCTTTCAATTGGGAATATATTTAGCTGGCAGCCTTTCAATGTGGAAAGGAAAGCACAATAGCCTGAAGACAGGAATGAAGACAGCCCAACCTCTTCTGTTTGTTGGGTTTTCTTTCCTCCCCTCTTTTTTTACGTAATTCTCCATTGCTGGAAAGAATAGGTGCCAGAGCCTTGGAGAGTCTTTCATGTCACAGATTTTCTGCTACTGTACTGTTGTGATGTGAAACTGGGGAGAGTGAAAGTTTTAAAATAAATGTTTATATCTCCAATGATAAAATTTTTGTAAAACACATAGAACCAGAGGGGTTTAATTGATCTTATACTCTGAAAATCATAGCTTGTGCAGGAGCCCTATGCATAGCAGTGCAAGCTAAACATGCTTAAAACCAAGTGTCGTAATTACTACCATAATTGAACTCATTAATTTCAAAAAACTTATTGTGATAATATACACTTTGATAGCCCATAGGAAGATTTTGCCGTGTATTGTGTGGTAGATAGGATGTAATAGGAAAGTATAGTTTGACTTTTGGATTTTCAAGGGAAAGGTCTTAGGTTTTGCTCGTAAGCATCTCATTTCTCTATTCACATGGCTGGTCTTTGATCAAATTAACATTTTACAGTAAGAAGCGGAGCACTCGGTTCACATTATTCATTATCTTGTCAGGAAACAATGAGAATAATTTTCCTGGATCTATTGTGTAAAGCTTTCCTTTTTTTTTTTTTTTTTTTTTAATTGGTAAGCACATGGCAACGTTATGATCACGACCTACTGGCTTCACTATTAGCTGTATAATATTTACATAGGATATTAAGGAGAATGGAAGTATTTTGGAATATTTATTTTAGCAGGGAGGGAACTCTCGGCTGGATTACTGGTGCTATAGAACAGTAGGAGGAATGGTGACCGAGGCACGATAGCAGCATTAGGTGTTAACAGAGGATTCAAGATAGAGGCAAAAGCAGAGACACGGGCAGTGCTCATCACCCTTCTGCTAGGCAGTTTGTAGGAGGCTGAGTAGGAACAAACCAAATGTTTTAGCACTGAATGATCAAAGGCAACTCTAACATGAAATATGTGTTTCTTAAATAAAGTGGATGGGATCATAGGAAGTAAAGGCCGTTTGACCTTTCCAGTGGCTCCAAGTTGGGTGAGTTTGCTAGATTTTAGCTGTTTTCCACATTGGCTGCCTGGCTGAACACTCTTTGTTGTTTCAAGAAAAATTGTTCAGCCGTTTCTAAGAACAAGATTAGGGGAAAAAATCTGCTTTTTGCCACATGTTAAGAGCCAGTTGCCATTCGGACGAGCGGCCTGCTGTGCCATGGTGCCCTGGCGCCGGATGAGGCAGGATGGGCCCTTCTCTCCAGGCTGCGTCTTCTGTCACTTCGAGTAGCGAAAAAAAAAAAGCCCCAAGTTTGGCTGTCGTGGAAACGTCTGAAAAAAAATGAGGAGAAATGTGGTTTGAATTTGTTGGCTTTGATGTCGGCGTCTGTCCGGAGCGCTCCGCGGGCCGCCGCAGCGCTGGCCGGCGGCGCAGGAGCCAGCCGGGCTTCTCGCTTTTCCGTGCGACGCTGTTTTGGCGCAGAGGACATCGTCCCACCATGGCCCAGGAGGGCAGGATGCCGGGGGCAAGGGCCACGTGGAAGTGCAGGAAGCAGATCCCGTGTGTGGAGATGGAGCGCGAGGAGGAGCAGTGAGGTGGGCAGGGAGCGGGGCAAGGGGATTTTGAGGAAACCAGCGAGGCAAAAGAGGAAGGAGGGAAGCAGCGGGATAAGACAAGCCCTGGCAGCCGGTGGGTGTTGTGAGGCTGCTCCAGGTGCTGCTCAAAGGAGAGGTAGCGGCTGCGAAGCTTTCAGGAAGGAGCAGCGACCGAAACACGCACAGGGACAGGGCAGCAAGAGGTGAGAGCGGCCGGAGGAGGCTGTTGGGGGGCTCCTCTTGGCATTCCCGAGCTGGGGGCGTTATTCCTTGCCGGTTCCTCCGCGCGGTTTTTATGCCAAAGCACCAGGGTAGCAGAGGGGCAAAGCCAAGCCCGGGAAGCGCTCGGTCCTGGCGTCACAGGAGGACGGGCTTAGGCTGCAGCGCGTAAGCCGCGGAGGCCGCACGCTGAGCGAGAGGATAAAGCAAAATGTCAGTCACTGCCAAATGCTCATCCGCGGAGCTGGACGGAGTGAGAGGTTCACTGGAAAAAAGCAAGCAGCGTGTTCCTACGCAGTTCATAAAGCAGAGTGCACGAGGGGGTGACTGGACCTGCGGGCAGGACTGGCTTGGCTTTCAAAACTTCAAAGCACAGTGTTTTGAAACCAAAACATTCTTTTAACAGGTTTTGTGTGTAATTTATAATTAATCTTGCAATAGTACCTAAAAATGCTTTCTGAAACCAAAGGCATTCACTGAAGACACACACGAAGGTCTGAAAATGTATATAATTCTGACTCTAGAAAGCTTATGTTCTGGGGAAAAAAAGAAAAACTGACCAGTATTTTCCAAGCAGAATTGTCCAAAGTTTCTGCTGATTTATTCTTAAAAAAACATACTCTGAAATCTTGCTGAATATTATTCACAGGATTGTAACAGGTGTTGGGAATTGGCTAGGGAGCCTGTGTAGAAAGGGCAGCTGACAGCTTACTGTATATGCAGATGTAACATCTATTAGAAATATCCTCTGTGGTTTCCTTGCATGCAAACGGAATAGGTTCTCCAAACAGGGCTGCTGTGAATGGAAGCCATCCGCAGAATCGCTCAGGGCTGCAAAAGCCATTACTTACACAACACAAAATGCAAGAGCAAGTACCGCAGTGTAGTAACTTGTCCTGCTTTGCAGTAGTTCCTTAGCACTTATGAGATCAATATATTCACATACACAGCAAATGAAATGAGAGGAAATAATTCCTCTCGCTATGAAATGCTGGCTTAGTTTTTTGGGGGGGGAGTTGTTGTTATTTTTTATTGCTTTCTCTCATTTTGGTCTGCCTTTTTAATGCTGCTGCCATTTGTTTGTGTGCACAGTAGGTTGCGTCCTGTGTTCTCGTTGTGAGAGCCCCGTCGCTCGACTTTTTACAATTGCGTTTTAATTAATGCTGTAGAACCTCTGCAAAATCACTTAATATAATGTTGTGAGCAAATAGCGCAGATGATGCATTTAGGATTTGATTACCTTTAGTTTACTGATTGATTAAACATGCAGGCAGAGCCTATGCCTGACTAGTGCAGAAGTCAGAGACCATGCACATACTAAGGGATATAGGGCTTTATATTCACTGAAAGAGAGAGGAGTTTGACACACAGAATATGGGAGGTTTTGGTGCCTTAAAGACAGAAGTGTGAATTTATTATCCGATAATGGAAGGAAGAAGACATCGGTGTAAAGGATAGGTGATAGTGAATAAAAGTTTTGGCCTTCATGAGTAGTAGCTCATGGGTTTGGAAGAGCTGGCACGTCACGGAAGTGGAAATAGAAGGTTGTTTTTAGCTTTTTGGTTTTTCTTTATTTTTTCCTGCCAAACGTGAAAAGGCTGCATGGAGCAGCCCAGGTGAGAACTAGTAATTACTCCAGGAGATAAACCGTGTGTTCAAAAAAAAAAGCCTTTAGACCCTATGGCGTATATATGGGTATAAATAACCAGGTTTTGTTCCGCTTTTCCTAGTGAAAACTACTAAGCAGTAATGGAAAACACTTAGCTTCTATTAATTGCCTGGAGTTACTAGCCACCTGTCTCCACCCAAGCTCCTGCATGGAAAATTTTTCCGCAGAATTCTACCTTCCTGTTATCATTTGATATTTGTATGGCAATTTTGTCTAGTGGCCAAGTCACGGGCTTATCAGATACTGTATAAAAACCTCAGCAGTCAGTAACCGATCCGCAAAATTGTCAGTTCAGGGTTAAATATTGCTGAATAAATAGACCTGCTGAAAGAACAGAGTCTACCAATTCATGTTTGGGGAAATAATTACTGAAGAAAGACAATCCACAACATTGTATGTGTGTTAGAGAGAATGGTCAGAATATCTTTTAATTCAGCATTTACCCCTGAGAATCACTCCCATGAGGAACCTTGCAATAAAATCTGCTTGGTCTATGAGAATGGAAAGAAATTGAATAAAAAGACTCCATTTCCACTTGTATTTATTCAGTCTGGGAAATTCAGTGGGCCGCAGCATTAGTATCAGCAGGGGATTCCTTGCTCCTAGCGTTAAATTACTGTCATAATCGCTCAATTATTTCTTCCTTGTACTGTTTAAAATAAAAATCCATCACATTCTATGTTTTTTTTCTAACATTTATTAGGTTGAGTGTTTAGGAAATCAATTATATTCAGTCAGGCATGAATTGATGAATGTTCTTGTAATAATTGTCAGTTGTTAAACTGAATGTACTTTCTCTTTTCACCCCTTTTCATTTCCTTCAGAGGGCAGAGGTGGCTCAGAGAGAGGCAGAGACCTTAAGGGAGCAGCTCTCGTCAGCCAACAAATCTCTCCAACTCGCTACGCAGATCCAGAAGGCACCTGATGTGGTGAGAGAAAATATTTACTGACTCTTACAGGTT